AGGGAAATTTTCCTTTCCTGAATGTCTGGAACATACTATAAACACACTAGTGCTACCAAAAATATCAAGTGATTTCTGGCTAATTTATTCTAAAGCCTTATGCAACATATTTCATATCAGTCTGCTTATTCATCTTAAACTTGAAATAAAGAAATCTGATCTCTCCTGGTTTTACTAGAAGTATTCTGGCTTAAAAGAATTTCATTTGCAAGAGCTCTTCTGGAATAAAGAGGACAAAAGTTAAGCTCCTAAGGAAAGAAGATCGAGGAAAATAATTTGTGGTATTTGAGAGAAAGTCTACAAGCTCATTTCCTCCCTGTTTAGTCCCATTTTTGAGATTTTTTTACAGGCAATGTTTTGTTAATTAATTCTGGAATCTGGACAAGATTCTTTATCAATTTCACCAAGTGCACAATGTACACCTGAATTCAGTATGAACTTTAAACTAAAATCAAAGTCAGTCTTTTCCATTTCTGATAGAATACACTCTAGCTTAAATGACTCAGTGAAAAGGACAAGGGAAGTCTATCACACCCACCATTCCTCCAAAAACTGCCTTTCAAGATTCCAGGAGGGCCAACTCTTTCATTTCATACAAACAGACACCTGGTTTTGTGATACTTTTCTGAAGAACTGCCAGAAAAAAAAAAAAAATGATATGGTGCTCATTCTTACTCAGGTCAGAGCAGGGCTGCATTCCCTCACTGAGGTTTGGGTGTTAGGGTTTGTTTTCCCCTTTGGAAGGGGAGTTCAGCCCTACTAATGCCCTCAGACTCCAGTTTAGGTTTTCAGCCAATCAGCCCAGCAGGGGAATGGCTCTGGAGAGCTCCTATCCCAAGGAGCTCTGGCCAGCTCAGCTCAGAGACCAGAGCTCCAAGCTGCAAGACCAAGGTCGTGGTTCTGTTTTGACACAAGCTGATGAAGTTCAAGTCATGATACTTTTGACCTTGGAGGGCAGGAGGAGCAAAGGGATTTCCTCCTCTCAGCCAGCTTTAGAGTGAGAAACTGAACCATGTCTATACAGAGATGCAATTTACACATTCATTTTTATGTTTGCTGCACTCTAGTATTGCAATGCATCGCGAAACGCTACAGCACTATACTCATTGAAAACATACTTACTCACCTATTATGACTGTGTGTCTTGCTCACTCCATGAAGTTTATGAAACAAATGAGAGAACTCAAATTTCTCATATATAGAACTAAACAAGCATAATCATGATCTTAAAGCTTGGGAAGCTGGATTTTTCTTCAATTGCTAAGGGCTACCTCAAATTGTAGCCAGTGCTGTGAAAAGCACTGTGAAATTCACAGTGCTGTGAATACACCATGAAAAGGTGTATTGCTATTGAAAAATTAGCACTGCATCTAAAACATGCACTCATGGCATACAAAAATTGCCTGCAACAGGAGACATGAGAAGGAACTTAACTGACCTTTAGTTAAACTATTGGAGAGACCAATGTATTTTAGCAACTCTCCTAAAACTGCAGAAGAGGACAGCTATCACAACTTTTATTGGTAGTTGGCCAATCCACCTGTCTCTAAAAAGATGCAAAATTCTTCTACTGACTTAGTATTATGAACAACATCAGAGTACTGCTTCTTAAAACTCAAAGGACATTAACAGCCCCAGAAAAGCAGTAACTAAGCACTCCAAACCACAGCAGTTTAAGCCCTTCTCACCTCATTAATTTTGACTAAAATTTTCCATGTGCAACAGGCAAGTGTCAGCTTCATTATTTTAGAAAATAAATACTCCTGGGCTAAATTTGACAGGAATATTCACAGAGCTGCTATCAGTTACCTAGGTACCTGTTTCAGTTTATAGCTTAGCAGCTCCTCCACTTCGTTAAAGCCCAAACAATTGTATTTAACAATTAGTTAATGCCAGTTCACTTTCAATAGAGGCCTAATGTTCCTCAGACAAGCCAGTCCCCCACCCCCTTGATAAGCAGGGTTCCATTATGTTATGTATCTGATGTTAACCTCTTATTGCTCCAGGGTTTTAAACCAAACTCAAGCTCCAGACTAAACTGACGGGAGACTCAAGAGCTCCTCGCTTGCGGTCTCTGCTTGGTCTTCATACTGTGGCTGTCAAACACATAATCAGAGTAAAAAGTCATCTGGAATGAAGGCTTACTGTTTGACACCGAGTTTCTATTACTGGAGGTGGAGAGGAATGTTTAGGAAGGTTTTTGCAGTAGCCAATTTCTTCTAGCCCAGAGAATATTGAGCACAGGGCTGCCTGTACTCTCCATTCTATTACAAAAACCTAATCCCATCGCATGACCTGCAGCAATTCAGTTTAACAAATCAACAATTACAAATATTTTGGCAAAGTAAGCTTAGGTATTGTTTGCCTCTCGGCACAGTTCACAATCAGTTTATGGCTTTATGATAAAAGTCATTAAATCCAATCTGAAAAGCAGAATTTACAGCTCACTTAGCAAGTCAGGCCCATAAATGGATGCTTTCAATTACAGGGCATTTACATGCACAACCATTAAGGCAGCATTGAATACATTTGAAAACTCTGGAATACTTTTTATAATAATTAAAACTTTGCGTACTGTTCTTCATACAAACAAAACTTAGGAATTTGCTTCAGTCTCAAGCAGAGCTCAGTTTCATTGTTACCCAGAATATACTACAAAGCCTGTTCTCCAAGTGCTTTTGTGGGAAAGGGATTAGAAAGATGGAAACAAGGTTTGTTTTTAAAGTTGCCCTCAGTTGCAGGGAGGGTTTTCTGAGCTCAAATAAACTCAATTATATCAACTGGTACTCAAGACTTCTGAAAGATCAAGTGGAACAGGAAGATGGAGGAGGACCCAGGGTGAGCCTTGCATTTGGAGATGCGCTGTGCAATTCCAGCATATTTGATTTTGTTGGTGAATGTAGCTGCTGGGTAGAAGGAAACAAGAGAACAGTTCAGAATCCAATTCTTTAAACTCATTTTTTCAATTGCCCTGTTTCTTTCACTGTTAAACAGAACCTCAGCAAAACTGATTAATTCTTCTCCAAGGTTCTATGATGCACATCCAGCCTCTTCAATAAAGAAAACTGGATCTTCAAACACTTACACTCCTTTTGGTGACTGTTGTTGTATCTGACCCACACAACCGCAGAACAACAATGAGCTGCCAGGTTACTCTTTTCAACACCCCAATATGCTGTTCAACATATGCTCAGACTCACCTTTAAGTGGAAACCACCTTAAACAAGACCCTCCCCTTCCACTTCTTAAAGGCATTTGTAACTTATGTTATCTTTCATCATGATAGTGCTAAGCAAAGGGGGGAAGGGACTTCACAAACACCTCCTTTACTCACACTCTCATCCCCGAGTTCACCAGAGCTTGTAAACTTTAGAAGTTTGAAAGCTGTGCCTCAAAATGAGCACACAAATAGCCCACTCATGCACCAACACCTCGACGAAGCATGAGAAAATCTAAACAAGCAACCTCGCTCTGCTGGCCTCTCACCTCAACCAGAGGGTGTTTCTTTCCCAGCCTGGAGAACAGAGCAACGACTAATCAGTCCCTCAATACAGAGTCCAGCCCCGACAGAAATAATGCCATGAATCAGTTCGAAAGTACAGCTCTCCAGGCTAAGACAGAACACTTGAGAAAAGAAAAACCTGCTGTTACCTGTGGTCTCCTAACAAGCTGTTATTACAAACCTCTCGCTACTGATGGAATCTAACTAGTTTATACCTGTGGACTGTGATAGCACGAGCTCCACACACAATATACACAGGCTGCAGTTTTTTTGGAGACACTTGCTTTGGTGAACCCAGTAAACAAACTTTTTTCTAATGCTATCCCGCTCGCAAGCATTTGAAAAGAGCACAACACACGTGCTGGGTTTTTCTCAGTCAGAGACTGTGACGGACAACCAAAGAGACACAAGACCAGCCTGCAGCCTGAATCCCAGCAGTTCAACAGCTCTCCACAATCATCGTAAGAGCTCTCCACTCATTCACACGCTTTTTTCCGTTCTTTTATTTCCCCAGAGTGACGACTAAAAGACCACACTGTATTGCACTTCTCTTCCCCTCCACTCTCCACAAAAAGAAAAAAGAACCCAAACAAGCAGGAACTCCACAACTCTGCAGCAACAACACCGACCACTTGCCCTTATCACGACACAGCTTTCATTTCCCCGTGCACTTAACGAGACAGATGAGGCACTTACCAGGTTGTGTTTGTTTACAAACAATACCCAGGGATGGAGCTGCCACAGCTTCTCTGGGCAACCTGAGTCAGTACCTAGCTACCCTCGCAGGGATGAATTTCTCCCCAGTATCCCACCTACCCTTGCCCTCTGACAACACACAGGCTGCTGCAGCATTAAAGGCATGAATAAAACCGGTAATCTCAAGTCCTGTCTCACGCGGGCTGTGTGTATTTTAAACCCGCGGCTCTGCAGACAAGGAGAGGGGACAGACAAGAGGGTGAGGCAAAACCTCGCAATGCCAAACACAAACTTCGAGCTCCAAACACAACTCATCACCCCACACCGCTCCTAACTTTGTCCTCCAAAACTCCACGGAGTTTCGCACACCTAACCCTGACTGCACGACCACGAGACACATGGGGGTGTCCTGGGCAGCGCTAGGAGCTGGACGCGATGATCCTCGTGGGTCCCTTCCAGCTCGGCATATTCTGCGGACTCCTGCAAGGAAAACACACCGGGCACGGAGGGAGAGAGCGAGGGAGAGAAGGAGCAGCACAACTTCTTTATTCCCCCTCCCCTCACCCACACATACACACGGGCGGCACAGCCCGGCCCTCCCACCACAGCCCGGGGGTAATGCCGGCGGGAGCAGGATAACCCAGCCCGGGTCCCAACACAACAAAAAGGGCGAGGGCGTAGGGAGGCGCCCCCGGCCCCGCTGGGACCAGGCCCGGACGGTTCCTCACGGCCCGCGCAGCGCCAGCGGTGCGACCCTGCCCATGGGGCACGGACCCCAGACCCGGCACCCACCAGCACGTACCGGGAGTCACCAGGATTCGCCGAGAGCCACCGCTCCTTCCTCTCCTTCTTCCTCCTCTCCCCTTCCTTATCCTCCTCCGTCTCCCCGAGTGCTGTGCGGCCGCCGCCTCTTCCCTCAGCGTTACCTCCTCCGAGGGCCCGCCCCTCGGGCCGCCCCGCCCCCGCCGCTGGGCGGGGAAGCGGCCCATTGGCCGCGTTTATCTTTTCCTTAAAGAGCCGCACTGCGATTGGTCTAGGGGTCTAATTGGCAGCCAGAATCGCCAATGGAATGCCCGCAGTGTTAGAAAAAAAGACAAGGGAAGGGGAGTGGAAGAAACAGGCGTGAGGCGAGGGAGGCGGGTCGGGGTCGCAGCGCTCATTGGTTAGATTGACTGTCAGTCACAGCCCGCGTGCCCGCCGCGGGAGGTTGATCGAGGCTTATCGGAGGTTTGGGTGAACTGCAGCAGCGCAGCCGCAGTGCGGCGCTCCGGCTCCGTATCCTTCCGCGGCGGGCACGGTGCGAGCCGAGAAAAAGTGCGTTGATTCCCGGTGGGAATTGCCGCTGGACTCCAGCTGGGGTCTGCACGGGTTGGCACTGGTACCTGGCTCCTACCGGCAATAGTGTCACACCATGACGAGGGCAGCCACCGCCTCCTTGTGCCGGCGCTGCTGAGGCACCTCCAGTGCTGGGACAGCTCTGGGCCCCTCAGCACAGGAGAGACACCGAGGGGCTGGAGCGTGTCCAGGGCAGGGAACGGAGCTGGGGAAGGGGCTGGAGCCCCAGGAGGGGCTGAGGGAGCTGGGAAAGGGGCTCAGCCTGGAGCAAAGGAGGCTCAGGGGGCCCTTGTGGCTCTGCACAAGTCCCTGGCAGGAGGGGACAGCCGGGGGGGTCGGGCTGTGCTGCCAGGGAACAGGGACAGGAGGAGAGGGAACGGCCTCAGGCGAAGTTGAGGTTGGATATTGAGAAAATTCCTTCAGGGAAGGCTTGTCCAGCCCTGGCAGAGCTGCCCAGGGCATTGGTGGAATCTCCATCCCTGGAGGGATTTGAAAGCCATGTGGATGTGGATGTGTGGAACATGGGTCAGTGTTGGCCTTGGCAGTGTTGGGGGAATGGTAGGACTCACTGGTCTTCACCAGCCTAAACGATTTTGTGGTTCTAAATATATTCAAACTGCCCAAATCTCCATGTTCCACAACGGCACAACAGTTCCAGGCCAGGCGTCCTGAGGTGTTACACGGCCACAAGGCAACCCCGGATACTTCCCAGCCTCCCTCTGCTGTGTGCACCCCATACTCAGTAACTCTTAACACAGCAGTTTTCCCCCATGGGTTGGGGGTGGTTTTAGCTACTGCCTTCAACAGTCTCTGCAAAGCTTTAATCATTTGTGTTGAGGTAATGGTGAAAGAAAACCAAATTCCTTCACCTCCTCAGGGACCCAGGGTCACCACAAGGGAATGTTTGGGACAGTGCATATTTGGGGACCCATCAGTCTGTGAAACCCATGGTTGTTCTGCCTGCAGAGACCCTTGCAGTGATGCTCAGCAGGTTCCCTGGGGCTGTTCAGCCTGGAAGAGAGAAGGTTGTATGGAGACCTCACAGCACCTTCCAGTATCCAAAAGGGCCCACAAAGAAGCCAGAGGGGGCCTCTATGTCAGGAACTGCAGTGACAGGACAAGGGGGAGTGGGTAGAAATTGAAAGAGGGGATCTTTAGGTTAGATATTAGAAAGAAATTCTTTTCTATGAGGGTGGTGAGACACTGGGGCATGTTGCCCAAGGAGGTCATGGATGCCCCAAGCCTGGAAGTGCTCAAAGCCAGGTTGGATGGGGCTTGGGGCAGCATGGTCTAGAAGGTGTCAGGAAGGTGTCCCTGCTCATGGCAGTGGGGGTCAGGACTAGATGAACTCTAAGGTCACTTCCAACTCCTTAACCTTCTATGATTTTATGAGTGGGAAGCCACAAGGTGGGAGTTTAATGGGTTTTTTTGGGGTGAGAAGGTCAGTTCTGGATTTGCTCTAAGTCTGTTGGAGATCCTCTGGGTTATTTTTTTGCTTTTGCCTTTTTGATACTTAATATATATCTTTTATCTCCACTTCAAGCCGCTTCCTTTACACCTGAGGTCACATCTCCCTAATGTAGCAGTTGTCTCTCCAGAGTCATGCTCATCTTCTAGACTGAAAGGGTTTCTGGACTCAGTGATGTAGGTGTTATGATTCAGTGTCTTGGGCACAGGTCCCACCTCAACAGGGTTCGCATTCCCAGCAGCCAGGTGAAACACCTCACAGTATTTAGCCCTTCTACAGAATGTGGACTCACAAAAATCCCACTCTTGACTCTTTTGTGCCTTTTTGTGCCTTTTTGTGCCTTTTTGTGATTTTCCAGACATGTGGCTTAATTTTTTGGTAGCATTTTCACCCAGTCCCAAACGTTAGAGATTCAAGGTAGTTGTGAAATTAATAGTGAAGTGAAATGGAGAAGATCCCCTCTGCAGACAAAGCAAAGCATCTGAGAGATTGCCATCATGTTTTTGAAAGATAAGGTGTTCCAGTCCTGTTGTGCCTGGAAACGTATACAGACTATTCAGCCAGCACAGCACTTGTTTTGTGGAGGTTTCACTGCATTCAGGGAGATTTTTATTTTTTTTTCTATGAAGAGTAAGTTAATTAAGCTCAGTTTTCATATGTATTTGCGTCAGACATTCCCTTCACCTCTCCTCTGCAACAGACTCGTGGCTCCCTCTCCTCCTATCTCCAAGGCTTATTCCTGATACATCCAAATCTCCCTTCTATGTCCCCAGCCTACTTGTCTTGGCCTTCTGTCTGGAGCAGCACATGCTGTGCCTGGTTGAGGGATGTGTGTACTCTGGCTGGCCAGCTGCCTGCCCCTTATCTACTGCCAAGGAAGCCAAGCAGTGCTGATAAGGGCTGAGCTCTCCCTGCCTTTCTCCCTGGCAGAGCACTTAACAACACGTGTCTTCTCTAATGCAGCCGCTGTTTGCCATGGAGCTAGACTGACTTTGTATTTCCAGAAGCTCTGCTTCTCTTTCAGGTGTGGTTGAAATCAGTCAAAAGGTTGGCCAGCTTATACTGGGGGACCCTAACACACCCCCCCACACACACAAAAATCCAACATTTGCATAAACCTTTCTCTAGGAAAGGAAATTGCAAGCAGCAGGAGGAAGAAAGTGAATGGAAGAAGGCAGCATCAGAGCTGCAAATCCCAGAGCCCAGAAGTTACCTGAGAAGCAGGGTGGTTGTGGAGAAGGCAGGCAGGTAGGATGTGCATCTGCTCTAGAAAGATGAGCTCCCAGCTGTATGCCTGCACCTCCAGGAAGAACATTGATTTAGATGGGTTATTAGAAGTTTTTTTTGTTTTTTTATGAGGGTGGTGAAGCACTGGCACAGGTTGGCCAGAGAGCTGGTGGATGCTGCAACCCTGGAAACATTCAAGGTCAGGTTCGACTGGGCTTTCAGACACCTAATCTCATTGAAGATATCCCTGCCTTTGGCAGGGGAGCTAGACTGGATGACTTTTAAAGGTCTCATCCAAATCCAAATCCAAACTATTTTACAATTCTGTGAAATAATACTTGATTTTAGTAAAAGAAATTGTAAAACTTGATCCCTGACACCAAAGCTGGATATTGCTATGTCCTATTAATTAATCACAGAATCCTAGAATGGTCTGGGCTAGAAGGTTGGAAGTTCATCTCATTCCACTCCCCTGACATGGGCAGGGACACCTTCCACTATCCCAGGTTGCTCCAAGCCCTGTCCAACCTGGCCTTAGACACTTCCAGGGATCCAGGGGCATCCACAGCTTCTCTGGGAAACCTGTGCCAGGGCCTGCCCACCCTCAAAGGGAATGATTTCTTCCAAAAGTCTAACCTAAATATTTTCTTTTTGTAGTTTAAAACAATCTCCCCTTCTCCTTTCACTATCTGTTGTGCAAAAAGTTGCTCTCCATCTTTTTATAATATCCCCACTGAAAGCCTTCAGTGAGGTCTCCTTGGAGCATTCTCTTCTCCAGGTGAACACCCCCAGCTCTCCCAGGCTGGCTGCAGAGCAGAAGGGCTCCAGCCCTGGCAGCAGCTCTATGACCTCCTCTGGACTCGCTCCAGGTCCGCATGTTTCTCAAACCATGTAGCTCAGCACATTTTGGACATTAGCAGTTAAGTACAAATGGCTGCCAGTCCCATTTGGATTTGAGGCTGCAGTGTGAGAACGTGAGCATCTCCCTTAAGGTCTCTGAATGTGTGTGAGGGGTTCAGCATCCTCACAAGGACATTCATGTGCAGAGACAGCAACATCTCAGTGGTATCTGTCATCTGTCTGCTAAAAGGAACAAAGGAGGTTGAGCAACTTGGTTTAGTGGAAGGTGTCCATGCCTGTGGAACAAGATGATCTGCAAGGTCCCTTCGAACCCAAACCATTCTGTGCTGGTATGAAATAATCTAGGACCTAAAAAAACATGATGAAGCAGTAGCTGGCTGTGCTGTGCTACAGAGGATACACGTGGACTTCCCAAACCCTGTGGCCAAAGGAGATACAATGTCAATATCTGATAACTTCAAAGACACCTAGGATTTCTGAATGACCCAACACTAGCAGATATTCCTGCATGAAGGTAGAGACAAGTGCAAAGTGCAATGCCAGGAAGACAGGTCTTGGAGGCAGAGCAGGTAGTTTTTGTGTTGAAGTCATTATTACCAACATGTCAATGTTGGTGTTAAACTGAAAAAAATGGAGGAGCATTGAGCAGAGTTGTGATACAAAAAGATTAACCAGCGTGTTCAATACAGATAACAATGGAGGAATCCTCACCCTGGTCTGTAGTTTGCTCATGAGGGGAGCTGAAGGGTCAGGCTCTGATCTCTTCCCTCTGGTGGCCACTGACAGGACCCAGGGAACAGCTGGAGCTGTGCCGGGGTGGTTCAGGTGGGATATCAGGGAAAGGTTCTTCCCCCAGAGGGTGCTGGCACTGCCCAGGCTCCCCAGGGAATGGGCACGGCCCCAGGGCTGCCAGAGCTGCAGGAGCCTTTGGACAGCACTGCCAGGGGTGCCCAGGCTGGGATTGTTGAGGTGTCTGTGCAGGGCCAGGAGCTGGACTCTCCCAGAGCTCCAGGAGCATTTGGACAATACCCTCAGGGACAG